AAACAGCTCCAGCTCAGTCAGATTAGATGGACAGCGTTTGTGAACAGCAGTTTTCAGATCTTGCCACAGATTCTCAATTGGATTTAGATCTGGACTTTGACTGGGCCATTCCAACACATGGATATGTGTTAGAGCACTAAGGATTCGCTGAAAAATCCCCAACTGAAGATGGAGCCGAAGACAGAACTGTTACGAAAAGCTGAAGACAGCAAGCTATCTTTCAAGAAGTGGATCAGCTCTCCACAGTCAACTAGCACTGCTAGTTGTGTAGCATCCCTGAAGATTGTAAAGAGGAGGAAGCCGTTCACAGATGGAGAATATATGAAAGAATCGTTCATAAAACATCAGAGCATCTATTCTCCAACTTTAAAAACAAGCAGGAAATTGTTCCGAAAATTAGAGAAATGCCTCTTTCTGCAAAGACCGTCAGAGACAGGACCATTAAAATGGCAGAAAACATCAGCAGTAGGCAAATTGATGACATCAATTCAGCTCAATCATTTTCAATTGCCTGTGATGAGTCAAGTGAACGATGTTGAGCAGACAGTACTGTTATGCAGATATGTCAACTGTTATGGGCCGCAGGAAGAACTGATTGAACTCATACCGCTAAAGGGCCAAACACGAGGGCAGGACATTTGTGAGGCTGTTGTGAGTTGTCTAGAAGCTAAAGGAAAAAACACCACTCACCTGGTGTCAGTGTCTACTGATGGGGCACCCAGTATGAGATGAGCACATTAGGCTTGGTGAATTTACTTCAAAAGTCACTGGATCGATAGCTGATGGCGTTTCACTGCATCCTCCACCAAGAAGCACTGTGCGCAGAAACATTCACCCCGAATGTGTTGAAGTGATGAACCTCGTTATCAAGATAATTGCGAACAGATTAAGCCACCGACAGTTTTGTTCATTGTTAGAAGAAGTCGACAACGCCGATCTCCTGCTGCACAACAAAGTCTGGTGGCTGTCCAGGAGAGAGGTGCTGAAACGCTTCGCTACATGTCTGGAGCATGTGAAAACTTGGAAGGCTTCCGCTATCCTGAACTGGAAGACCTCGATTGTCTGGGTAAATTTTACTTCATGGTGGATATGACAAGTCACTTGAACACGCTGAATAAAACTCTCCAAGTAAAGGGAAGCACGGCCCTGCAGACGCTGGAGAATGTTTTGGCATTTTGGCGCAAGATGACAGTGTTCGCAAGAGATGGACAAAAAGGTACGTTCTCTCACTTCCCCTCCCTAAGAGAGTTCAAAAAAGCGAACAATCAAAAAAGTTATGATTATTCCCACCGTGCCATCATTGCATCAAGCAAGCCTGATCTAGAAATTGAACTGGCCAACATAGTGGATAAAGATTTAAATAAGTTCAAAACACTGACTGCTGGCTGAGAAAAAACCCGAAGAGGATGAGAGAACACTGACATGGACTCTGTAAATGGCCTGTATTTGTTTAGCGCCTTACTATCAAATCAAATCAAATCAAAATTTATTTATTTATATAGCACATATTAAAACAACAGTGTTGACCATAGTGCTTCACAGTCAGTATAAGCATGAGACAATTAAAACAAACAATAAAACAGGGCAACAAACAATAGGTAACAACACAACAAGCTAGAACAGCCAACTAGTTAGAATCAAAAGCCAAAGTAAAAAGATAAGTTTTAAGACGTGATTTAAAAGACTGGATAGACTCGGCAGTACGAATATGAACACGGAGGTTATTCCAGAGTCTGGGTGCCACGGTGGCAAAGGCCCGGTCACCTCTCAACTTCATTCGAGGTTGTGCTAGGAGCCTGTGATTGGATGATCTAAGTGCTCTGTTGGGATTGTATAAGTGGAGTAGTTACTAGTTCCTAAGGACCCCAAAGCGCTTTACACATTCAGTCATCCACCCATTCACACACACATTCACACACTGGTGATGGCAGCTACATTGTAGCCACCGCCGCCCTGGGGCGCACTGACAGAGGCGAGGCTGCCGGACATTGACGCCACCAGGCCCTCTGACCACCACCAGTAGGCAGCAGGTGAAGTTTCTTGCCAAAGGACACAATGGCCGAGACTGTCAGAGCCGGGGCTCGAACCGGCAACCTTCTGATTACAAGACGAACTCTTGAGCCACGATCACCCACAACGACGCTGTCAAAGACGCTAATTTTCTTTTTAAAGCTGCTAAGTTGCAGCTAAATGTTTTATTTATATTAAAGTGGGTTGGTTTTTATTTTACTTTTACACAAATATAGGAAGAACTTACATAGGCCTACAGTTCAGTTTAACCCTTGTATGGTGTTCGGGTCTGTGAGACCCGTGTTCAGTTTTTTTCAAAAGAAAAATTAAATTAATTATTTTTTCACGTGTAAATGTGTTGTGTCTTTCCACTCACTCCACTTGATTATAACTGATTTATTTATAACATTTTATATAAAAGAAAAACGAGAAGCACATTAATTCATAAATGTGATCTAACAAAGGTAAAGGGAAAAATTTAACCATGTTTGCTGTTCATATGTCTTGTAATTGGGATGAAGTAAACATCTGTTGAGTAATTTAACATAAAATTGTTTGATAGTGTTAATTTGGAAAGCCAAAACTCTAGCGGGTCCACCAGACCCATGAACACTGACTGAGTAACAAAAATACGAACACCACACAAGGGTTAAGATATGTCAAAGCAGGCCTACAAATGCACACTGCACTTCTGTTGTTTTATTTAGTTTTTAATTAAAAAAAAAAAAAAAAAACTTAAAAGTTTACAAGTTCTGTTATTTTTTGCGGCTCCTGACTATTTTTTTTTGGCAGATGAGGGGGCAAAATGGCTCTTTTGATGATAAAGACCCCAGGATTAGAAGTTCCCAAGTCTGGATGGAGGAAACAAATGCAAAAGACTACCATGATATGGAAATGTTATGGAAGATTTTTTTTAAAACGGACAGACTGACAGCCATAACTCAGAAAAGCTGAGAAGATGGAGAACAAAACCATTTTTCATAGTACGATGTCTAAAACAAACATCCTCTGTGTTAAAGTTGCAAATTGATGAAAGCAGAATTTGCATTTCTTACTGTTACTTTTTTATTTCTCACTAAAAGGGACGGTCAGTAAAAACTAATAAATTCACCCCATAACATTTAAATGTTCAGCTTTAGCATGTCACACCTTTCAGTACCACCTCCACGTTACACTGTACTGCAGAACTGGTAGTCTCCAACATGCAGAATCAAAATACAAAGTGCGAAATCAACCATCACTCTATTAAACAGCAATAAGATTGAAATGCTACACAGGATCAAGGAAAGTACATTCAATATTTAGCTTTACAATTGCACAGAACCCCAGAAAAATGAAGTTTACCTGCATAAACACTCCACCACATGTGTGTTATACTTGAAATGTGCGATTGTTTTTTAATCACTCAAAGGGCATGCAGGTTAGGTTTAGCTGCAAAAGCTGCCTGGCTTATAAAATGTACAAACTTCTAATACAGCCAACAAATATGAATGCAGAGTTGGAACAAACTGGAAACCTAGTAGCAAATATTTCTGCCATTCGTAAATGCAGATACTGAATGTACAGGATTTGATGGTTAAGAATTTAATACCAGTTTCTTCTACAAATTTTTTTCACCTTCTTGAGGGAAAAGGAACCTGTCACACTCCTGGAACACAGTGACTTATGATGCATTTAACTAACAGCTTAACTCCGGACGAAAATATATATTTCATCCAACATTCAGAAAGTAAATCATCCTCAAAAAATAACTGTAATGAAATCACCCGGTCGTCCTGCAGAAATAAGTATTAGCATGAAGTATGTTTTTACAGTTCTGAACACAAACTAGTACAATGTGATCTCAAATCAAAAGACCAAACATTTTTTTTGAATCATCAAAACATCTTAGGCTACGTTCACACTGCAGGCGAAAATGCATCAAATCCGACTTTTCTGACCCTATGCGACCCATATCCGATCACAGAAACTGAGGTTTTGGACTTGATTAGCATATGGGGAGACAATTCAAACAAGCTAAACGACTCCGTGGCCATATATACCTCTGCATGGAGCCACTGGTCCAAACGAGGCCATTGTTAAAGCACGGGCTCTCTTTTTTTCTCAGTGTCGTTCTTTTCCTAATAATTTTTCAAAATTATGTCGGTTATGACTGTGCAGAAAGTGATAGACTGCTGAAACAACACCTACTAGCTCTGTAGCAGCCATTTTTACTTCTATAAGCAGAGCGTGTTGTGTGTGACGTCTTCTTTTGCGTCTTCTTTTGTGCATGCCGTGAACACTAGAGTGCATTTGCTGTTGCATTTTATTTGTAGTGTGAACAACCAGACAAAAAAAAGAGTCGAATTTGATCAAAAAATCGGAATTTAGCATTAAGACCTGCAGTGTAAATGTAGCCTTAGTCAACCATTCAGTACATATAGATCAGTCATTGCAATAATTAGTCCAGCAGTCCGCAACCCCAATCTGTGGCAAAACTTCAAATGAATCTTCAGGCTTAAGTCCACTATGGTCATCCAGCTTAAGTTAAGACACAAATGTTTGTTGGAAAACATTTCGTACCGCGAGAGTTGAGGCTCGGGTGTGAAATTGATGGTTTTCAGGGTTTTCTATCATTAACTCAGTTAACTGGGTCTTTTCCCTTGTTGTAGTTGTGTGTCTTATTTGGAAATATTTACGCATTATCATAGCGACCAGTGAGCATTAAGGGTCAGAGAGGAGGATGTTACTCTCAATGTTGTTGGTGCATTTCGGGAGGATGTTGCTGATGAAGTTACACACTTCTGGTGATAATTTGAAATCACAAATTAATAGTTTGCCCACCAATGTTGTCAGATAATGGCGCCTGACTCATCCAATGCTTTGTGAAAAATACCCCAGTCAATGGCTAGACCGCGAAAAAACCACGGCAAGGGTCTAAAATGTTTGGCATCATAAGCAGACTCCTTAGAAAGGAATCCACCTAAGACTAATGAAAATAAAGTATGTGCTAAATATAATCTTCCCTCACCAAATTTCTTGATGAGTTTAAGCGTGCAAACATGTCTCTGAGACAGTACGAAGAGCGAGGTCAATCCATCGTGCACATCAAGAGAAACAGAATTACACCTTCACTCCACATCAGCAATGAGTAAGCACTATTCATGCTTTTAAAATACTCCTGCTATCTTCCAATGACAGTGGCAATGATAAAAAGGAACCTTTTAATCAATCTGTGGCAAAACTTCAAATTAATCTTCAGGCTTAAGTCCAATTAATGGTCATCCAGCTTTAACTCAAGATATGAATGTTTGCTGGAAAACAGCCTTTCTGACATCACCGCAGGAACGGATGAGGACAGAAACATAGATCCAAAACAGGTGGGACTCCAACATGATGTGCATGGCTAAATTTGATCAGAGACCTATGTTCCCCAAGCAGTCATCATTCTCACTGCCTCAACATCTGTCTGTTTGATGAAGGAGCAATTTTTAATAATCCTGCAGGTTCTGGTCGTGGTTCTGGTTGTGATTCTGAGAAGGGGGCAGCAGGCAGGTGACATGGCCGATGCCTTTGGTGACGCCCTCCCTGAAGAGAAGCTTAGCGCCCAGGCGCAAGTACTCGGGGTGTTTGATAAAGCGGAAACGAACAACAGCTCTCTCGCCAGTACGCAGCTCATCCTGCAGCAGAAATCCAAGGTTACATGATGTGGTTACATAGAAGCTTGAAAAATAATCATGTATTATGTAATTTCAAACCTTTCCATGAAGGCACTCCACAGTGGCAGTCTGCCTGACATTACCAACGTGTATGGTGACCTGTGACCCCCGACGGAAAGTCTTGGCATGGAAGAGCAGGACAATGGCAGCTTCAAACTGACAGCAGATGGTTGGGTTCATCTTGGGACTGACCATCACCATGCCCTGTAACACCAATAACACACTGATGTAACCACAGGTTGTTATCAGCAGTTGTAGAATATTTGCAGGTCTTACAGGTATCAAAAAGCAGTCCTTTATCCATTAGTGCGCAACTTGTTACGAATAAATTGAAATTTTCCTACAAGTTGGTTGTGCACACTCTCAGACATTTCCAGGTGGTAGAATCCAAAACTAGCTTCTATCATCCATAAGTTCAAGCTCACAAGAGAAATGTTTCATTTTTGGACAAATAATATGCCCACCTTCTAATACACAGGTTGGTATTTGAAGAGCAACGCTGGGTTCACATCCAAAACAAATGTATCAGCAATTTAGCATAAAAACATTCGATGGAAAGACAATACACTTTCCTCACATCAAACTATGCAAGTTAAGTGCAATATTGTCTCCTGTTGTATTCAGTTTGAATATTGATGATCTTTCTGTCAAGTTAAATGAATGTAAGACTGGATGTATGGTGGGTAACCTCCATGATGATTTGGTCATTTTGTCTCCCTACAGTCCTGGTTTGCAGTAGTTACTTAGTTTGTGCTAGTTATAGTGATATTGCTTTTAACCCTAAAAAGCATGTTATTGTGATTGTTACAACTAAGGAGGATGACAAGGTAAATTTTCCATCTTTTCATTTAGCAACCAAGTACTGGATGTGGGGAACAACGTATAAAACTTGGGTCATATCTTAACAAGTGATCTTTGTAATGATGATGATGATGTGAAAAGACAGTGCTGTGAAGGTGTACGAGCAAGCTAATATCTTGGCACATAAATCTGGCACTTTTTAAGCCTATTGTACTTTAAAAAAAAATACGGGTCATTTATGGTGTAATTATAGTAAAGCCATAACCAAAGCCAAACTGCAAGTGGCTTTTCAGGATGCATTTAGAATTTTCCTTAGACTTCCAATTTGGACATCTGCAAGTCAAATGTTTTTCATGAGCAACATCCCACCTTTTCATGCCTTACTCAGGAACTATATGTGCCAATTTATGTGTCATTTGAACGAGTCAAGAAATTCAATAGTCTTGTGAGTTTTGTCTTTGTTGTTTTTCTTTTAATTATATGGACAAATTTTCTCTGAAAAAAAAAAATACAATACAAAGCTACATCATCTCTCTGAACTTGTGTTCTCACCACTTGTGGTGTCTGCAGTTTCACCAATGACCTTAAAAATGTGCAGAGACCAAAAATGTGAATTTCTGTTTGGATTACCAGGAAGTAATCCGAGGGCTCAAATTACGGTCAGAAAGATTTTGTGTTTTGTAACCTTGTAACCCAAAAAATCTGAACATGTTATGTTTGTGCATCCATAGATAAGAATTTCAGTGTGCGTAAAAAAGATTTGTGTTTGTAAAAAAAATTACAAGTTAAAGCTGAAAGGAAGAAATTTCTGGTCAAAATTTGCACTTTTAAGTTGAAACTCACACACAAGTGAGGGAACTTGAGCACAGAGTTACAACTACGCAGTCTGATTTACAAGTACAAAATATTTATGGCCACAGTTAGAGCCCATAGTAATCTGATAACAGCAGCTGTACTGACAGCAGTCCAGAGGTGCATGAGGAGATGACCTACAAAGGTACACTGTGCAAATTTAAACTGAGTGAAGTTGTTGAGTTTTAGAGTCACAGAAGAAGTCACTATATCAAGGAAAGATAAATTGACTGAGACACTTTCTATGTAGGGTTTGCAGAGTTTTTACTTCCTAGACAATTCTTACATGTACGTTAGAACATTTTGGGTTGTCGTCTGTCCTTGCCAATTATAGAGATCCTTTCCTCAACACATTGGGGGACAATTCAAAACAACCGTTGCTTCAAGTTACCTCTTTATATTGTAAGGTAAAGATCCTGAACTAATAACAGAATACTCTGTATTTTTAGCATGAGTCTGGTCTGTGTTTCGCAGAGAAATTAAACACCATTAATAAATTTGAAAAACTGCGACCATGAAGGTCGACTGCGTTCCTTCCCTCTGTGTTTTCCAAATTCTCAAAGGAACTGGAAAGTAACTTCCAGTATAAATAAAAGAGAGCAAATTAAATATGCAATATACACACACAGAGATGTATGAATTTGTGCAAGTTACATTTAAAAAAAAACTGAATCCCCCTTTAAATCATCTCCTACATCCTTTCATGTCTTTAGGTGGCCTCTAACCTTGCGCAATAGTGAACGGTCAAAGTTTCCCAAAGCCAGCGTTGCAGCCTGTCCAGCCCTCAGCACTCTGCAGGCAGAGCGGTTCCTCTGGATACTGCCCACCTTCAGACGCAGAAAACGGCCCTCATCAGTTGGACCCACCACCAGCCTCTCACCCTCCCTACACATTCCACTGAAACACAGACCGTCACACAAACACAAACTGTTCTTAGTGTAATGCACGGCACTTTCCATGATTACAAAGACCTGCTCTGTGTCCAACCAAGGACCCGTAAAATGAAAAGCTGCGATATATTATCAAAGATTCTATTCTTATAAAAGTCATGTGTTATATATATCTCTATGAATATTTGGGGTTCCCACTGTTTCAAGAATAAAATGTAAAATAATATTGACAACATATTAAAGCAGACAGTGCTATCTCACCTGTACAGAGTTCCTCCAACCACAGTCCCAACGTCAGGAACTGAGTAGATCTCATCAACCTTCAAACACAGAAACGATTAAATGTCAGTCTGCGCTTTCCACACTCCAGCATGCAAGTCACACACACGTCTCTACCACATTCTATTAGGGGCTGGTGTGTGTGTGTGGTGTGTTTTTGTTTTCTTTTTTCCTTTTGCGGCGCAGGGTAGGCAGGGCGGTGATTCGCAGGATCACCAGCACACCTGTGGCAAATCAGGCCAGAGCTTTTATAGGGAGCTGACATCTGGTGTAAGAGTATTGCCTCTTCCACAAGTAGTAACATGCGAGTTCACTCTCTAGATTGGAATCTACGACCTGCTGAGTGTTTTAAGATCTTATTTTCCTTCCACCAGCCTGCCTCGCTCCCCGACTGCCTGTCTGTGCCTCTGACGACTGTTTAATCGGTCTGAACTGGGAATCACCTTGCCTACCAATTCAATTACATTCAAATTCTTAATTACTTATTCCCCAAAGGGGAAATTTGTTTAGCAGCAAGACAACAATAAGAGTAAACAAAACAATAATCTTAATAATAATAATAACAATAATAATGATAAAAAGCCATTAAGTTATTTGACATTAAGGAGATGGGTTGCACCGCGAGCAGCCCACACACTCCACCTGCCTCAGCCTTTGTTCCTGTTAAACTTCTTTCCGAGTCTGTAACTCAGTTTGTGCCAAGTAAGCTCACCAACTCTCCTCCTAACTTATTTTCATCCTTGCCTTTTGTGTTCAGTCTCTAATTCTGTTCTCCTCCCATAGACCGGTCGAGTGCCCTGCCAGTTTTCCCGCACACCCCCGAACTGTGTTTGTGTTTTCTCTCTCTGTCACTGTGAATAAAACACTGTCACTGTGAAACCCCTGGTGTCTGCGTGTTCTGGG